CTGACACGACCATCTTTACGGCAGAGAGGGCAGGTGACACGATCATCTTTACGGCAGAGCGAGTAGGTGACACGACCATCTTTACGGCGGAGGGGACAGGTGACACGACTATCTGCCCGTCAGAGGGGGCTGGTGACATGACCATCGGCACGTCAGAAGGGTCAGGAGACACGACCGTCTGCATGTCAGAGGAGGGAGGTGGCACGACCGCCTGCACGTCACAGGGTTGTTGGAGACCTCTGTTATGTGAAGCTGTAAGCCCCTTCACACCGGACAGCTCATGCAGCTTGGATATGTGCTGCGGGCTCCTTTTCAAAGCAAGGTGCTTTCCAGCATCTTTCCTGTCTCTCCCTTTGAAGTGGCTGCCACAAATGCCCTGACATAAACATGGCCGTTGGCTCTAAGCATACCATGCCTTCCTGTTTGATTTTTACAGGTGGCCAGCAGTCTAGCAGTGTGGCAGAAATCCACTTCCACATGTAAATAGAATGCCTCACAAAGCATCTAACAGCCAAAGCTTTTACCACTACCCTCATGGTATAAAAATATCCTAGCCTTCTCTTAATAGTGGGAGATTGGGTCAGAGACTGGGTCCCAGAGATTGGGTCCCAGAGAGAATAAAGCTGTAAGCACAGACTGAGCCGAGCCTTGAATCTTGTGTACCGGTGACCTGATCCCCCTGGAGGGCAGCACTCTCTGTTACCGACCCATGGACACACTAGCTTTTGCCGTCTCTGTACTCCTTCCCTGTGTGTTTCAGTGGCCAGGAGCCTCGCATCCTGAGGAAGAGTACACGGGTGGAATAGAGACGGGATTCTGGCTGGACAGTGCTCCAGTAGCAGAGTAAGCTCTCAGCATCAGAGAAGTTGCGGCAGCCACCAGCTGTCGCCAGCACCAGAGACGCGGGACCCGAAGCAGCCGGCGGGAAAAGCCTGCACGTCCGCCACCACTCCCGGAGCTGCAGCTTCCCAGAGAAGTCTGCGGACCCGCCATGCCGCTCCCGGAGCCGCCGCTTCCCAGAGCAGTCTGTGGATCCACAGGGAGTGAATGCACCCCACGCCTGGGAGCCCAGCGCAGTCTCCCCATAGGGAGCCTCTGAGGCCAGGCATCATACAATGGGGTGCCTCTGTATAAAGATGGCCTTGATAGGCCACTGTGTGAAGCTGTGAAGATGAAGCCTGGTTGGCAATGGAGACCCCAAGGAGTCATTCATGATGCCAGAGCTGTGAGGCATCTGCCAAGAAGACCTACATATAGGGAATGGTACCAGCTCAAGAGAGAGACATATGTTGCACTCAGCCAAGCTGGAGAGGCTGAGCCAACTAAGCCCTTTGGAAGTAAAGTCCCAGAAATCAGATGTGGAGCTACTGGATTTGGTGTTTGCCCTGCTGGTTTTCAGTCCTGTTTTGGTCTGGTATTTCCTCACTATGCCTCTATTCCTCCCTTAGGAATGGGAATGTGTATTTGATTCCATTGTATGTTGGGAGTATGCAATTTATCTTTTGATTTAAAAGGGCTTACAGTTAAGACAGCGCCCTGAGTCTCAGAAGAGATTTTGGACTATGGACTTTTGAAAAGCATTGAGACTGGTAAAGACTATGGGGGCTTTTAAGGACAGACTAAATGCATTTTGGATTTTATATGGCCGTAAGCCTATAGGGGCTAGGGAGTGGAATGTGGTGGTTTGAATAAGAATGTCCCCAGTAGGTGTCAAATAGTTGGACATTTTTCCTCCAGTTGGTGGCACTGTTTTGGGAGGTCTTAGAAGGTATGGCCATGCTGGAGAGAATATGTCTATGGGGGCAGGCTTACAGAGTTCTTAAGTTTTGCCGGATCTGGAATTGCTGTCTGGCTTCCTGTGCCTGTTTGAAGATGTGAGTGCTGTGCTTTCTGCTCCTGCCTCAGCCACCTCCTGCCACCATGCAGCCCCACCATGATGGACTGTAATTCCCCTGGAACTGTAAGCTCAAATTATTCCTTCTAGAAGTTGCTTCAGTCAGTGTTTCTATCATAGCAACAGAAAAGTAACTAATACAGCCTGAATACATGTACCTGCACCCATGTTGTACAGTGCCCATGGAGGACAGAAGAGGGCATTGGATCCCCTGGAACTGGAGTTATGGACAGTTGTTAGCTGTTCTGTGGGTGCTGGGATTTGAACCCAGGCCTTTTGCAAGAACAGCCAATGCACTTAACCTCTGAGTCATCTCTCCAGCCCTGTGATGTTATTTTTTATTATTGTTGTGAAGTTCAGAGGGCTTTTTCTACTCACAATCTTTGCTTCTGTCTTCATGATAATCACTCACTTGCTAGAAGTCTTCAAGAATGAATTGGTCAAATTGATTTGTCTGTGACAGAGCAAAGAATTAATGAAATTTTATGTATCATAATAACACTAAATTAATTAAAATATAGTTAAGTTTTATTTTGTCTCCTAGTTTAAGCATTTGTTATCTTGAGTAGACGGTGCATTTACTGTATGGATATATTGTGCAAGTGCCCATCTTTCCTCCTCCTCATTCATAGGGTTATCTTTCCCTGAGACTGTAATATTAGGAGCTTCTTGTGTACCTGCAAGTTAATCTATGCATAGGTGCACAATTTTAATGTTTCAACCCTGATAACATGCATTAAATGTATTAAATTCATTACTTTGCTCTCAAATGTAATGAAATGTTGAAGGATCTTTGGACAGTGTACCCATCACTATATAAATATATATATTCATACATAGTATATTTTCACTTTTAGTTAATTCTGAAAATCAATTTGCTCTTGAGGCTAGGTATGCTTAATTCTTTTATCTTTATTTTTCATTGTCATTCTTTAAAAAAACTGTAAAAATAGAATAGGCAAGCGGTACTTAGGAAATATCAGTAATTGGGTTCTGCCGCATTTTATAGGGCATGCTTAGAAATGTGCTTCAGAGCTGAGATTTAAAGCTATCATTGAGTTCCAATGATGTCCTTGCCCTTGCTGTTAGCCCCTTTAATATGGCAGTACAATGCTATACCTGAAGATGATATGGCTACTCAAAGATTTGCTACAGATTGTGAATTAGGAAAACTAGCCTTTGTGGATATTGGGCAAGTTATTTGACCTCTTTGAAATCCTAATTCTTTCTCTTCTAAAACAGACCTGGGTTCTAAGGCTACTACTGGCTTTCAGGTTCTCTGTTGAAAAAGAAATAATTTCCTGATCCATATATTTTGACCTAATGGACTTATTAATAGGACCTAATGGACTAATTGCTCGAACATACAGTCTATAGACAGGAGCAACTTTCCTCTCATGTGAAATGTTTATTCTGCCATGGAGATGTTTATTATTTGAGCATGGCCTGACCTGCAAGAACACTTTAGGCTTGATTGTCACTCCATTTGTTTTTGCTCACATTTGATGAGGCTAGATTTACCCCGGACAGCTTTTTATGAAACTGGACATGACTTACTGATTTGTGACTACTGATTTCCAGAGTAATCAGTGGGCTAAAGAAATGTATCCAAACTCAAATCACTGAATTATTCATTGACAAGAATGCAAAACTACTACTTGCTTTTCTTTTCTTTTCCAAATGAGATATATCAGAAGAAGTCCCAGCATGGTGTCAATTAGAAAAAAAAATACTGCAAGAAAATTATAAAGTGCCAAAGGACAGTTGAATTTTAGGGAGAAATTAGGTTAGGCCACATTGATCAAAATGACTGTGTTAATTTTGATTAGGGCCTCACAGCCAACTGACCAGAGCCTTTATATCTGCAACCAACAGCAACTGTTCCACTAAAGAGCCACACATGGTACAATCTGAAGGTTCTGAAAACCCAACCGTCATTTTCTTGTCTAACCACAAGGTAAGTGGTAAATATGTGGACTGTGCTGATTATGAAAAATCTATTGGAAGTCCCTATTGGGATAGGAAGAAAAGATCTGAAATTAAATGCTGGTGAAAATTAGCAGCTTCTTACAATAGGAGATGTTAAATTAGTATTTGTTAATAAGACAAATGTAAAGAATGTTTTAAGGGTCTGTAGTCATTTGATGGTAGAAAGTTCTCTTTAGGAAACTTAGGACAACTTATGTGTAGGACCTTGGTTTTGTATGCTGATATGTCAATACGCATTACTGATTTCATATGAACTTAAGAAAAATTTTATTTACTTCCTATTTAAAAATTTCCAGACCAGGTGTGGCTGAGGCAGGTGGATCTCTGTGAGTTCCAGACTGGCCTGATCTACATGACAAGTTTTAGGCCAGCCATACCTATACAGAGAGACCCTGTTTCAGAAAACCAAAACCAAAACCAAAATTACAACCCCCCCACAGTTTCTACATTTAAAAGAAACAGTGCCAAAAATGAAGCATTATATATTTTAGGCTATCCAAAAAAATAGAATCTTTGAAAAAACCTTAGAGGAATAATTATGCAAAACACTTTAATTCTTTAAGACAGGATTAAGCTTAAGAAATGATTAAGTTAATGAGCTAAGAATTCAAATTTTAAAATCTAATTTTTTGCTTTCAATTAATATATATGACTATATTCTAATTTTACATTTCAAATGATTCATAAGTATAGAATAAAATATAGATTTCCTTATTATTTTTTCCAAATTATACAAAGTAGACTAAGTATTGTGTCCCACTCCTGAAATCCTGGTACTTGGGAGGCTGAGGGAGGAAGATTTCTAGTATGAGGTTAGCCTGGGCTACATAGGGAAACCTCATCTCATGGCAAACATCCTCAAATTATGGGAAGCATCTATTTTCTCAATTCTATTTAGAAGATTCTTCATACATAAGTACGAAAACATAAAATTAGCATAAGTGTTTTTATTAGGTAAAATCGATCACATTTTCTTAGAAATCTTCCCTTTTCCTTTTTCTTCCCCCTTTCTGCCTCTCCTCCCTTCAAACTCCCCCTCTGTGCTCGTTACCTTCCCCACAGTCAAGGCAGTCTATATTAGATCCCTGTATCTCTACTTCTAGATTTTTCCTCCTTGTTCATTTAGCATACAATTACATCTTATATGTATAGGCACACACACACACACACACATATATATATATATATATATATATATATATA